GATAGATAGATAGATAGATAGATAGATAGATAGATAGATAGATAGATTAGACAGACAGACAGACAGACAGACAGATGATAGATGATAGATAGACAGACAGAGACAGACAAACAGATAGATGATGGACGATATGATTTGATTGCCTATTTGTACCCTATGACTATATTAAGTGTTGTACCTTATGACTCTCAACAAATGTACGTTTTCTTTTTATGTACACTGAGAGCATTTGCACCAAGACAAATTCCTTGTGTGTCCAATCACACTGGTCCAATAAAGAATTCATTCATTCATTCATTCATAGATGGATGGATAGATATAGATAGATGGCTGGCTGGCTGGATAGATAGATGATGGATGGATGGGATGGATGGATGGATGGATAGAGATAGGAAGGAAGGAAGGAAGGAAGGAAGGAAGGAAGGAAGGAAGGAAGGAAGGTAGGAAGGAAGGAAGGAAGGAAAAAATGGATGGGAAAAAGGATGGGAAAAAAAGGATGAGGAGGGAGGAAGGGACTCTCCAGTTTAACATCTCCTAAAACAGGAAAATATCAACAGGAAAATTTACTGCCCGCCCTTGATGTTGTTTTTAAGGTTTAACTCCGCTCAGGGCAGGCCGGCCAGTCAGTGACTCCCAGGTGGCATCCTTGCTCCGCCTCCCCCACCCTTCTGAGCAACAAAACGCCCCCCCCCCCCCCTCCCCCAGTGTTCTCACTTCCCATTCCTTCTGCCTGCCAACTTCTCCTTTCCCTTCTTGGTGGAGCCGACTCAACTCTTCCACGGCAGGGGGGAGGTGATAAGGCGAGGAGGGGGTGGGGATGGAAATTACATCCAGTAAACCTCCTCCATCTCGCCTACTCACCCCCTCTGCCCTCCCCAGCTAAAGAAAGCAGACATGCCAGCCAAAATTTTTAAAAAAAATAACATCCTTGGCTGATGACCGCCAAGTCCTGCCTCCATCGGTGGGGTAAACAGAGGCAGGAGGTCCCAAGGTAGGGGCTGGCCTCCCCCAAGGAGACCCACTGGATAACCCCTGGCATGCTGGTGAGTCTGCAGCAACCCTCTCCCCCCTGCAACGAGATTCCAACTTTGGCACCGCAAACCCACTGTCGAAAGAAGGGGTCCTCACCTCTTGTCGACGGCACTCGGAGACGCTGGCCCCGTGCTTTCATGCTCCTCTTCAGCCCCCGCCTGCACTGATGATGCTCGGGAAGTGTCCAGCATGCTGTTCCTGGTCCCTGTCCCTCCTGGGATGCCATTTGGTGCTGTACGGGAACCTTCCGCCCCGTTGAGCCCCGTACTCCCGGTTTTACACTCCTCGCCACTTACGTCAAATGCGAGCCTGTCAGGAGCGACAGAAGTAGCCTTTGGTGATGGATGTGGGCAACCTCCGGTGACGTTTCCGTGGCTCGCCAGCGCTGGCTCAGAAACCGCGGCCACAGCTGCAAGAAGGAGGGACCAAGGTCAGAAGTGGCACGGCTGTGAACAATGGCATTTTTGAATCCATTTTAAACCATTCACCTCCTCCCCACTTCCCTTTAATTTACCTTCCTTGAGATATGCCTTGGAAGGCGACGGAGAACAGCCCGAGGGGTCTTCCTCCTCCTCAGCCAAGGGGTTCAGATCCCGTGATTTGTCTACATTAGGAGGAGGAGAGGCTGTTGTTATGAAGGAAAGGGAAAGAAAAGAAAGAATTGGAAGAAAAAGGAGGCTCGGAGGAAGACCCTGAAGAGATGGAGCTGTCACACAGGAGAAGATTCGAATTCAACCATCTATCTACCTACCTACCTACCTACCTATCATTTCTCTTTCTATTATCTACCATCGCTCTCTATGATCACTGTCTGTCTATCTATCATTATCTATTTATATATCATTATCTATCTCTATCTTTCTATTATTTATCTATCATCTATCATCTATCTATCTATCTATCATTTCTCTCTATGATCTCTCTCCCTATCATTATCTATTTATCTATCTATCATTATCTCTCTATCTCTATTATCTATATCACTATCATTATCTATTATTATTTCTCTATCTATCATCTATCTTATCATTTCTCTTTCTCTCTCTCTATTATCTATCTATCATCTATCTATTATCTTTATGATCTCTCTCTGTCTATCATTATCTATCTCTAACTATCATTATCTATCTATCATTATCTATCATTATCTATCAATCTATCATAATCTCTACCTACCTACCCATCCATCCATCCATCCATCCATCCATCCATCGGCTGTCTATCTATCATCTATCTATCCCACACAGCATACAAAATAGGAAAGTAAGAGACACAAAATGCAGAAAAGCACATCAATTCCACAAGAAATCCATTAAAAAAAAAACCAAGGATTTGCTGCTGAAAAGTCTGGTTCCAATCCAACATGCCAGCTCTGTAAATTGTCCAAAGCTTACACAAGAAGTCCTTGACTTACAACTATTCCTTTAGTGACCGCTCAAAGTTAAAACAGCACTGAAAAAAGTAACTTGCAACTCTTTTTCGCACCGTTGCAATATCCCTGTGGTCATGTGACCAAAATTCAGATCCTTGTCAACTGACTCATATTTATGACGGTTGCAGTGCTTCGGGGTCATATGATATTCTTTTGTGACCTTCTGTCAAGCAAAGTCCATGGGGAAGCCAGATTCACTTAACTGTGTGAGTAACTTAACTACCACAATGCTTCACTTAACAACAGTGAGAAGGTCATAAAATGGGGAAAACTCACTTAATAACAGACACACTGCAGTACTTGAATCTCTTTCCCTAGACCTTCATGGTTGCTCTAAGTGTTGATTTGCAACCTATTTCTGACAGCTTGTTTCAATTAACAATAGAAATTTCGGTATTTAATGGGCTAAAATTCACTTTTACAAACATTTCACGTAGCAACAGAAATCTCGGTCTCAATTACTGTCCTAAGTCAAGGACTACCTTGTAGTGCAAATGGCCCCTGTGCCAAGAGTTAAAATCCCCGCAAAACATGCACAGTTTTGTCCAGATAATGCCAGTCTCCAGCACCGGCCTTGCAAACCTGGGATGGCCTACCTGAGAAAGAATTCATCACAACGTTTTTGAGGAATCCTGAACAGGGAAGGGAGAGATGAGAAGAGAAGGGGGGAAAAAAGAAGGGAAATTGAGGTGGGAAAATGACCCATATACAGAGGTGGTATTCAGCCGGTTCGGACCGTAGTGGAAATTTTGTGCAATGACCCAAAGAGGCGTGGCACAAAGGCAACACAGTCAGATAAGCAATAAGAGTCCCTTTATTAGCTCCAACTTTGCCCCCAATGTCCAGGTTACCTTCTGGCTGGAGAAAAACTCTCCCAGGAGCAGCCTTTGACTGCAGAAAATTCAATCCAAAACAAGGTACACACAAACTGTAACTTAAAAATCCAAACACGCCAAACTGAAGTAATTAGTTTGGTAGGGCAGGAGCAAGAATTTCAGACTTGAAAGCACGGCAAAACTCACACAGTTGGGAAGACGCCAAGAACAGAGATAAGCCACCAGGATACAAGATACAGTCACGTTTGCTCCTAGCAGCTGCTGCTCTCAACAGGCATCTCTTTTAAACTCTCTTTCCAGCTGTGGCTAATGAAGGGAATCAGGGCCCTTTCCTCCCCATAAGCCATGCAACCCACATTGCTCCCTTCTCCTTTCCTCCTTGCGTGCCCTAGGATGAAGAGGGGGTGGTGGGCCTGGGTCTTCCTCTCAACTCCCTCTCCCTTGTTCTACCTCTCCCCTGCTCTGCCCAGCCGGACTTTGCCCATCCCCAGTTTCCTCCACAGCCAACGAAGCCACACTCCCACTCCCTGTCAGCTGTCCGGCTTCCTCCTCGGATTCAGACTCCAACATGGGCATGCCATTTTGAATAGTTCGGAGAACTGGCAAATACCATCTCTGGCTAGCCCACCCCCCACCCCCACCGTTACCTCTCCTATATTCCCTTGTTTTTTAGCTCAGCTGATCTGTGTAGTGGAACAGATTGCCCGCGCCTCAGCTGAGCTAAAAAACAGCTCGGCTCACCATCGTTGACACAGAGGGCAGTTTTCTCACAGAACCGGTAGGAAAAAATTTGGAAACCCACCACTGCCCGTCAACCGACGCCAGAGCTGTGGCGTGTGAAACTGATACAGAGGAGGCATTTAGCAAGAGGTGAGCCGAAACTGGGACAAATTGCAGAAGGGATGCTGGGTTAATCTCGCGTTCCGTCAATATCTCCTCCAATCCCTCTTAAGGGGATCAAAGGGAATCCAGGAAACCACGCCTGTGTCATGCGAGGTTAAGCAGGGGATCATCCCCTCGGGTTAATGTTCCAAAGCAAAGGTCCTGTTTCCCGCCTGGGAAGGCTTAACACGTCGTTAAGTGAAGACTACTGGCTAATGCTGGCTGCGGAATACTGGGAGTTGAAAAGTCCAGACGTGTTAAGGTGGCTACGGCTGAGAAACAACAGGTCAGGGAGAAGGGAAATATCAGGGCTGGGAGGACACCCCTCCTCACCTTGAGGGGATCCTTTGTGGCCCACCGCCTCCTCCCCCCGGCCGTATTTCGAGGCCTCTTCCGCCTCCTCGTCGCTTTCCGCAAAATCCTCCAAATTGCCGATGTCGGAGGGCTTGAAGCTCATCAAACTGGCCAGGCTTTGCATGTCTTCATCCCTGGGGAGAGAAGAAGGGGGCAGTGCTAAGAATCACCAGACCTATCATCCCTTTTTTGTTTTTATCCCCCGCCTTCTCCATTCCCTTGGGATAACCACCCAGCCATTTTTGAAGTCCAAAAACATTCTAGATTGGGCTTCCCACAGGACAGGATAAAAGCAATGTTGCTTGGAAGCTTTTTTCAGTTCAGTTCTAGGGTGGTTAATTTGTGTGTTCCCTCTGGTGTGTTGTGGGAACACAATATCTATCTAATTATCTATCTGTCTGTCTGTCTGTCTAATCAGCCATCCATCCACCCATCATCCCTATCTATCTATCCATCCATCCATCCATCCATCCGTCCATCTCTTTGTCCCTCTATCCATCGTATCTACTATCTGTCTGTCTGTCTGCCTGTCTATCCATCCATCCATCCATCCATCTATCTAATCTATCCATTCATGTATCTCCCCCCCCCCCCCCCCCCCCCCCTTCTTCTTTTTATTTTCCCTTTTCTTTTTCCCCCCCCCCCCCTCCCTATGTATTTATATTCTGCCTTGATTATTTTGGCAAATCAGCAAACATATGCAACACTCTTTTCTTTTCTCCTTCCTCACAGCTGAGAGAGACTGGCCCAAAGTCACCCAGCTGGCTTTCATGGCTAAGGTAGGACTAGAACTCACAATCTCCCACTTTCCAGCCTGGTGCCTTAACCATTAGACCAAACTTTCTGTCTGTCTTTCTTTCTTTCACACACACACACAGACACAGTATATATTGGCTTACAACCATTCATTTAGTGACTGTTGGAAGTTACTATAGCACTGAAAAAAAGTGTCTTACGGCCATTTCAGCATCTCAACCATCACGTGATCAAAATTCAGACAACCATCCAACCGACTCGTATTTATGCCGGTTACACTGTCCCCGTGCTCGTGTGATCCCCTTTTTATGACCTTCTGACAAGCGAAGTCAATGGGGAAGGCAGATTCAGCTAACAACCAAACCACAAAAGTGATTGGCTTCACAACTGTGGCAGGAAAGGGTGTAAAATGGGGCATAAAAACCCACTTCATCACTGTCTCGCTTAGCAACATAAATCTGGGAGGGGGGTTTCGACAGTGGTCGTAAGCCGAGGACTACCTATACTCAAAAGGAGAATTTAGGCCCGGGCTTCTAAGAAGGGTACTTTCCCTACTCCGGGACTCACGTGGCTTTTCCCTCGTGCAAGAAGACGCACGAGAGAGTGAGCTGGAGCGATGCAGCCACCACCTTCACCGACTTGGGCTTTAGGTTCAGTTTCAGGTCCGCTTGGTTGGGCGTCTGGCTGGCGAAGCGCCTGAGGTTCACATCAACCGAGGCGAGGACCTTACGTTGCCCCTTGGATTCCTGTCACGAGAGTTCACCGATTGCACATTTTTAATTGGGTTAAATCTCACCCACCCATTTTAGTTTTAGTTTACTTTATTGTCATGGCAGCCTGCACAACGAAATCTAACACCCTCTTCAGTGCACATCATGACCATGAAAATAAACACAAACACACATCCTTCACCCTCCACACATTGAACCGAAAACCCCCGACACCTCACCAACACTGCACTATACAGCAGAATTAAAAAGAGCTACTGCCTTGGGATAGAAGCTGTTTTTCAGCCTATTTGTCCTTGTTTTTATTATCCTGTACCGTCTGCAAGATGGTAATAATTCAAAAAAAGGGTTCCTAGGTTGAGATGGATCTTTGAGGATGTTTGGAACTTTCTTAAGGCAGCGGGAGCTATAAAGCTCTTCCAAAGAGGGGAGAGGGCAACCAATGATCCTCTGGGCAATGACGTTCACCCTCGGGAGTGCTGTCCTATCTGCCTCTGTGCAATTGACAAACCATACAGAGGTGCAGTAAGTTAAAATGCTCTCTCTGGTGCAGCGGTAGAAGGTCACCAGCAGTTTCTCATTCAGTTGTTGTTTTCTGAGAAGCCTCAGGTAGTAGAATCTCTGCTGGGCCCTTTTGACCAGGGCTGCAATGTGGACCCCCCAGGTCAGGTCCTCTTTTAGGGTAACACCCAGAAACTTCAAACTGGCCACTTGCTCCACTCGGTCTCCATGGATAAGCAAGGGCTGGATGTCTGATCTGTTCCTTCTATAGTCCACTATCAGCTCCTTGGTCTTATTGGTGTTGAGGACCAAGTTATTGTCTCCACACCACGAAAGCAACCATTGGTCCACCTCATCTCAATAGGCAGACTCATCCCCCCCCCCCCCCCCGGAAATGAGTCCCACCACTGTTGCATCACATTTTTCATGGCACCCTGGGTCACCGTTCGAACACAAGACCGAAATCTTTGCCCCAAAATGGTTATAAAAACAGAAATCCCTGCCCTCGAGGCCAGTTCAAAACTAAAATTAAGCTGTAAATAAATGGATGTCTACACAGGCTTTCTGAAGGCGGCCTTTAAAAATCCATCAAATTTGTGTGGAAAAGTTGGGAAGAAAGAAAGAGGACTTCCAGTAGCAGGGAGTTCCACAGTTTAGAAGAGACCTTCTGTGGGTTCCAGCCATCCTTGCCTCAAAGAACAAGAACAAAATAAAAAGATTTTAAAAGGAAGTCGAGAATTAATAAAAAAAAAAAAAGTACCTTGATGCTTTCTATATTTTTTCCCAAACACTTGCCAACTTGTACAGGTAGTCCTCGACTTACAACAATTCATTTAGCGACTGTTCAAAGTTTTAATGGCGCTGAAAAAAGTGACTTAGGGACTGCTCCTCACACTTAATGACCATTATAGCATCCTCCCAGTCACATGATCAAAATTCAGGCACTTGGCAGCCAGCATGTATTTGCAACAGATAAGATAAATTTATTGTCATTGTACTCAGAACCTGAGAACAACGAAATAAGGTGCTCTTTCACAACATACAACTGAACAACACCAAAAGACATTTGCAGTTGCAACGCTTATTCAAATGAATGGGTTCACTTAATCACCACCACGTGAAAAGGCTGGAAATGTATTTCTGGTCACATGAGTGCCTCCACTTAGGAACCATAATGACATGTTGGACATTCTGTTTATATATAGTACCACAGACAAAGAGTACAGTCACCATGTGCTTTACTGCTTAACTGCTCAACTGTAACAGGAAACAGGGAACTCTACTTAGAACAAAAGAGCATAGAGTATATATCATAGATCCAAATTTCTAAGCACTGCCCTCTACTGGCTGAATAATACTGCAGTTGTGGCATAAAAATACATTAGAACTTATGACCATAATTCGGGGCTCAGTTGGGATCATAGGTTGAGGACTACCTGTAATCAAAGGGCATAAAAAACTCTTTGTTTGATTTAAAAAAAATAATAATACTGGGCAACGAAAGAGCCGAGGCCCATTTCCAGAAAAGGATTTTTTCCCACCAACTTTGCTACAAAATCTGGGCACAACCAAAATCAAATCCAAGATTACAAACTCACATTTTCTACCACAAAAGTCCAATCTTTATCTTCATATTCTTCCACATGAGGGTCCTGAAAGAGACAGAAGGGTGAGGAGTCACCTTCCTCCTTTGCATAAAAAGACATGCATTAGCAACAAGGCACAATTTAATAGAATGACAAGGCTGGAAGGGACCTTGTAGGTCATCTAGTCCAACCCCCTGCTGAAGCAGGAGACCCTACACAATTTCAAATGAAATGTCTGTCCAGTCTCTTGTTAAAAACCTCCAGTGATGGAGCACATACAACTTCTGGTGGCAAGTTATTCCACTGGTTAATTGTCCTCACTCTTAGGAAATTTCTCCTTTTTTCTAGGTTGCTTCTCTCTTTGATTAGTTTCCATTCATTGTTTCTCGTCCTGCCTTCTGGCGCTTTGGAGAATAGCTTGACCCCCTCTTCTTTGGGGCAGCCTCCCTCCAGGGCAGGGCCAGTATGTCGCCTCTAATGAATCCTTTGATGTTTTTTGAAGTTTGGCTCGAGAATCATGATTTAACGAGGGCGATTGCTGGAATCCTGGTATACCCCCCTCCCCGGTTCGGTGTTGATTTCGGGGGGTTCCTTCCACCTCACTTGGCAAAACATGGATCAAGGCAATGGGCAAACGAGATTTCCGAGAGAGGAATTTTCTTCTTAAATCCACCGACCGGAATCCTCGTTCTGAAAATGGAGAGGTCGGACTATGAGGCTGTCTTACCCGATAAAGCGTGACCATAATGTCCACGTTTTCTGGCACCATCCATACCACCTCGCCCCGGTAAGGATTCTTGATGCCCGGTTGCCAACTGTGAGCCTGCCAACAACCAAAACAAAAGAACTTAAATTTTCTTTAAACCCTCCCCCCACACACAACACATACCAACACAAAATATATAGTAGTCCTTGACTTATGACCATAATGGAGCCCAAAATTTACGTTGCTAAGTGAAACGTTCGTTAAGGGAATAGCTGCAGTTGTTAAGTTAGTCACACGGTCGTTAAGCGAATCTGGTTCCCCATGGTGTTTGCTTATCGGAAGGTCGCAAAAGGGGATCAACGGGACCCTGGGAGACTGCGACCATCATAAATATGAATCAGTTGCCATGGGGATGCTTGCAACGGTCGTAAGTGTGAAAAATGGTCCTGTCACTTTTTTTTATTGCCGCCGTAACTTCGAAAGGTCACAAAATGAACTGTCATAAGTCGAGGACTGCCTGAATTTGAGGCTTATCCTATTGTCTATGAGGATTCTCAATCATCCAGGCCAGAGGTCTCCAAACTTGGCAACTTTTAAGACTTGTGGACTTCAATTCCCAGAATTCCTCAGCTAGCTGGCTGAGGAATTCTGGGAGTTGAAGTCCACAAGCCTTAAAGTTGCAAAGCTGGCTGAGGAATTCTGGGAGTTGAAGTCCGCAAGTCTTAAAGTTCAAAGCTGGCTGAAGAATTCCGGGAGTTGAAGTCTGCAAGTCTTAAAGTTGCCAAGTTTGGGGACCCCTGATCCAGGCCATGGCTGTGGCAAAAGTGCTTTTTCCAAAAGGCAACTAGACTTTCACGTTTATTTTTCTTTGAAAATAGTTTCACTTCCCCTCCAAGAAACTTCTTCAGAATTTAAGAGAAGTAATGTTTTCAAAGAAAAAAAAATCAAGAAAGTAAAATCCCCTTGGAAACAATCCGTAGGAGACCCAATCAAATTCTAGCAGACGTTTTGAGCTCAACTTATTTTATTATTATTGATTAAATTAATATGCTGCTCGTCTCGGGGTCTGAAACTATTCGTCCCGCTGATAAAGAAACAGCTTTTAATCTGATCCCCTATTAAGCGCAGAAAATCACCTTGGAGCAAATCCGTCGGTTCCTCCTTGTCCAAACCACGATTAGCTTGTCCGGCTGCCTGTGGTTGGGAGAGAGAGAAAAACTGTCAGCCACAAACGCCAAACCAAAAATGACCAAGCCACTAGTCCACAAGACTTCATTGGTGGTTGGGGTTGCAATTAGCACACAGGGAGCAGGTTAATGCGGTGCAACCAATGGGGAGCTCCAGAGGGTTTGTAGTAGGATCTTACACACATACTGTACACACACACACACACAATTTGGTGGGGAAATTACAGTTTATTCTAGAACAGTACATCTCAATTTGAAAGTCTTGAAAGGCATTGACTTGAAATCCCAAAATCCCCCAGCCAGCAGGCTTTAAGATAGGTGGACAACCCCAAAATCCCCCCGCCAGCTTGCTTTAAGATGGATGGACTTCAACTCCCAGAATCCCTCAGCCAGCATGCTTTAAGATGGGTGGAGTTCAACCCCCAGAATTCCCCAGGCAGCAGGCTTTAAGATTGGTGGACTCCAATTCCCAGAATCCCCTAGCCAGCATGCTTTAAGATGGACGGACTCCAATTCCCTGGATCTCCAGCCAGCATGCTTTAAGATGGATGGACTCCAACTCCCAGAATTCCCCAGCCATGAGATGGCTGGGGAATTTTGGGGCTTGAAGTCCATACATCTTAGCCGGATGTCACCCATTTTGCCTCCAAGGAACTAAGGAAAGATACAAGGGTTTACTGGAGTGAGAATATCTGAGTTGCCACTGTGACGGCCATTAACATGGATGACCCAAGTTTAAGATGGGTGGAGCTTAACACTTGCTGGCTTGGGAATTCTGGGAGTTGAAGTCCTAAACTTGCGGAGGGGAAGAAATATGGGCCTAAAGTTTGAGCAGAGGCTATAGAAACGAGGAAAGGAACAAACTGGGCCTGAGGCAGCCGGCTGATGACCCCAAGAGACCTTTGTCACACGTGATTGTTGCACAATCACACACTCCTTCTTGGTGACAATCACACTTTTCAAGAACGGACAGTCGTTTTTCCAGAACAGTGTGACAGGGTCTCCTGCTTGAGCCGTGGGTTGGACTAGAAGACCTCCAAGGTCCCTTCAGCTCTGTTATTCTCTGTTCTATGTCTCAGAGAGCTCCTCACAAAAGCTTGGCAACCAGTTTGAGGGCTGTGCACCAGCTCCTGTCCGGCCCAGGGTTTATCTGCCTTCCCAGTCGTGTGTGGGCGAGGTTCCTGACCGCCTCGGGAGAAGGGCTGGCCGCACCCAGTTGTGGCACTGGGGTGTTGCAAGAGCCTGGCTCGGTTCAATTCCTGGTGGGGGTGCACGTCTTCCTCCTCTGCACCCAACCACACTTCTAAGAGTCTGAAAAGAAGCTTCTATGCTCCTAAGGAACCTTCTGGGACCCTAAGAAAGCTTCTCAGCACTCAAGGAAGCTTCTAAGATTTTAAGGCAAGTTCGAAGCTCCTAAGAAATATTCAAAGATCCTAAGGAATCTTTTAAGTTCTTAAGGAAACTTCTAAGATTTTAAGGAACCTTCTATGCTCCTAAGAATCTTCTGAGATCCTAAGGAACCTTCTATGCTCCTAAGAAATCTTCCAAAACCCTAAGGAATCTTTTAAGTTCTTAAGGAGACTTCGAAGATTTTAAGGAAACTTCTAAGCTCCTAAGAATCTTCTGAGATCCTAAGGAACCTTCTATGCTCCTAAGAAATCTTCCAAAACCCTAAGGACTCTTTTAAGTTCTTAAGGAGGCTTCTAAGATTCTAACAAGCCTTCTAAAATTTTAAGCATGGTAGATTTTTGGCTACCCCAGTTATTGCAATAATTAAAATGTTAAATGTGGGGGTGCAGTTGGCTGGGGATGGACTGGCTGGGGAATTGTGGGGATGGAAATCCACACATCTTAAAGGTTGCCACAGTTGAGAAATCCTTCTCCCCTTAGCGGTTATGTTGTTAAGTTCAGTTCCTCAGCCGTGTCCTTTTTCCTCCTTTCCTTGTTGCTTGGAGAGATCTATCTATGCTTCTCTCGTTTCTCCAGGCTGTGGCCAAAAGCTAAATTTAGTTGGGGATGAGGAGGGAGGGGGGAAAGGAAAGTCATTAATCTAGTCAGGTGTTGGGTTTAAATCTGGTCGCTAAAAGAAATCCAATCTGTTCACCACATACTTTCCTCCTCCCTGGATTCCATTCAATTTCATCCATCAGAGCCACCGGGAGAAGAGATTTGAATCGTGGTTAGATCTGGGGGGGTGGGGGAGACCAGAAAACCTAGATACCCCCTCTCTGGCTGGCTTCGCACAACCTTGCAAGGCCTAATCTTCATTTATTGACTTATTAAATTCATTTGCATGGGGTGCTGCCTAGCCTAGCTTGGTCAACATCCTTACATCGGGTTCATTTTAAGCCTGGCACGTTTCGGGGTTCGGTTGGCACAGAATTCAAAGCTTTAAATGGTTTTTATTCGGTGGTGCTTCTGAATTTTGATTTACATGATCCTAGGGATGCTACAGAGGTTGCAAGTGTGAAAAACAGTCATAAGTCCCTTTTTTCAGTGCCACTTTGAACAGTCACTAAATGAACTGTTGTAAGTTGAGAATTACCTGTATATTATATCCACAGCCTGTCCCTTCTCCACTAATTTAACCACTTTATCAAAAAAAGAAAAAGAGAGAGAGAGAGGTTTGTCTGGCATGTTGTGTTTTTAAGAAACTGATGCTGGCTTCTATTAATCTCCCTATTTGTTTCTAGATTCTCAGAAATCCTCACATATTACCATCTGTGGTGGAATTGCAAAAAAGCCCAAAAATTTTGGCAAAAAATACAGAAATGGCTAGAAGAAATATGTAGAATTAAAATAGAATAAAGAACGGAGTTTTTTCTGTTAGGGATTAACGTGGGGAAATATGATAAGGATAATATATATATTTAATAATTCATATAATTACGGCTGCGAGATTGGCTTATGAACAACAATTGAAAGATAAAGAAACTCCAAATGAATCAGAAATAATTAGGAAAATTTGGATGTGTGCAGAAATGGAAAAATTGACAAAGGAATTAAAAAATAAGGATGAATCAGATTACTACAAAATATGGGATAAGTTGTATGGTTGGTTAGAATAGAGGAAGGATCAAGACAAGAAATGACTATATATATACATATATACAGTACATACATACATATACATATATATACATACATACATACATACATACATACATTATATAGAAAACAAATTTGTATTATTTTTATATGTGATCTAGCAACGTAAGACAAATAGGTGGGATAGGAGGATTGTACCATGTATTTTTGTTTTGTTTGTGTTTGTTTGTTCAATAAAAATTTATATTATTTTTTTAAAAAAGGAAATCCTCCACTTGAACCTCTTTTCCCGGATTTTCCCAGGAATTGATGTCAAACTTGATAGGTCTGTAATTTTCATTAAGCGAATCACTGCAGCTGTTAAATTAGTAACACGGTCGTTAAGTGAAATCTGGTTCCCCCATTGACTTGGCTCATCAGGGAGGTCGCAAAAGGGGAACGCAGAACCCCAGGACGCTCCAACCGTCGTAAATACGAGACAGTTGTCAAGCATCCGAATTTTGATCATGTGACTGTGATTATGGGGATACTGCAGCAGTCATAAGTGTGAAAAAGGGTCACGTCTCTTTTTCCAGCGCCGCTGGAACTTCCAATGGTCACTAAATGAACTGTTGTAAGTCAAAGACTACCTGTAAGAGAATAAGAGTTGGAAGGGACCTTGGAGGTCTTCTAGTCCAACCCCTTGCACAAGCAGGAGACCCTATCCCATGTCAGACAGGTGGCTCTCCAGTCTCTTCTTCAAAAACCTCCAAGGATGGAGCACTTACAACTTCTGGTGGCAAGCAGTTCTACTGGTTAACTGTCCTCACTGTTCGGAAGTTTCTCCTTAGTTCCAGGATGGATCTTTCTTTAATTAACAGAATAGCAAAATAAGAGAGTCGGAAGGGAGTCGGAAGGTCATTTAGTCCAACCCCCTGCTTGAACAGGAGACCCTCTTCCATTATCCAAACTCTGCTTGAAAGCCTCCAGTGATAGAGCAGCCACAACTTCTGGTGGCAAGCAGTTCCACTGGTTAATTGTTCTCACTGTGAGGAAGTTTCTCCTCAGTTCTAGGTTGTTTCTCTCCTGGATTACTTTCCATCTATTGTTTATTTTTTGTCCTGCCTTCAGGTGCTTTGGAAAATGGCTGACTTTTTCTGGAGAAGGTCTATTTTACAGCTGCCTTTGCAGACACCAGAATGGCTGGGAACGCAGGGCACCTTCAAACAGACGTGCTCGTTGCTTTTCCCCCTCCTGGAGAGGGAGAGGTCTGGGCACTCCTTGGAGCCAAGGCTGAGCCCTGGGGCCTTCCTTCCGGGTAGGGCCTTAGGCGTGGCATCTCAGAAACATGCACAGACTGCCAAATTTAATTACCCCAAACCTGCCTAGCCGAAGCAACGGAGTCTGGCGTCTCTCGCAAAGACTTGGCCCGTACGGGGTGCAAAGTTGGGCCTCTCCTTGCTCAAAGCTTGGCACACCAACTGTGCCCAGTTGGGGGCAACCCAGGTGGTACCAGGAGAGCGCTGGCGGGGAGGACCCCCCCCCAGGCTCGTTGCAAGGAAATTGAGGCCCCCAGCCCACAAAAAAAGACCCAAATCCCAAGCAGGCTGGAGTCTCTTTCTCTTTTGCAAAGTTCCTCCACCGTTCCTGACTTCCTTTTTAGTCCACAGCTGAAGGCTGCTCATGACTCAAAGCCCCAGCATATTTCTCTTTTCTTGCCCCTTTCCTCCTCCCCCTGCTTTTCCGTTTTACAGCTCAAATATGTATGTTTCCCAAACCTTATAAGGCGGAACAGAACGGGGCGAGGAGGGGGAGGGAAAAAAAAAATAAAGGAACACGAGCCCTGGCACTCGCTCTCTTCCTCCACCCCCCACCCCCCCCACACACAAAAAAACGCTTCCAGAAAAACAACAGCGTTTCTTCGTGGACTTGGAAAACTTTGCAAAAGCCCAGGGGCCCTCCCGATACTACAATGCCTATCGTTCCCAGCCAACCAGCACAGCGGCCGGCATCGCCTTCGTCCTGCGGGGCTGCAACCCCCAAGCATCCCCAGCATGGGAGTTGTAATCCAACTTTGTCAAGATGGGAAGAGCTGTGTCAGAGGGATTAAGGGCTGCGTCTCCAGCCACCAACTTTGTGGGTGCAATACAGAACCCCCCCCCCCAAAAAAAATGTTTCCTCTTGCACAATCCCCCTTTTTTCTCTCCTTTTCTTATTGTCTTCTCCAGTCAAGCCTCCTAGGAAGGCGGCCACCTTTGCACAAGCTAACCATAATCGAACCATGGTTTACCAAAGCAATCGAATCACCCAGCTTCATCCAAGATAGTGAGCCATAGGTCTAGGTTCAGGCAAGCCACTAACGCACAGAGAATCTGGGAATGGTGAGGAACCCTAGAGGTCTTCTAGTCCAATCCCCCATCCTACCCCACCCTGGGTAAGAGTCCCAGCAAAATGGCTTTTCAACGGTTTGAAAAAGAAAAATCCTTATTCCCAGTTTGAATCTCTCTTTTGAAAAGTGCATCTACCTCCAATCTGGCCTATTTTACTCTAATCACTTATGATGAGAGAAGGATCTTTCAAAGTAGTTACGGAAGGAAGCCATTTCTGTTAGTTTTTTTTTGATCTACAATTAACAATGGATGAATCGATCAGTTCTAGCCTAACTTTTCTAGACAGTTTAGCAACCCACAAGCCAACAGACCACCAAATTAAAAGACCACCCTGGCCATATCTTTGCCAGACCATTAACCAGGTTAGTGAAAGACCCAGACATAATATTCATACCACAGGTCGGATTGGATAACCTCACTATTTTTCCCTACACAAGTCCCCCAGCCACTTTTGGGTTGTAGTGAAGGTGTTGGACTACAAACCGGGAGAGACTGTGAGTTCTAATTCTGCCTTAGGCATGAAAGCTGACTGGGTGGCAGCTTGACCTTCCTCACAGGATTGTTGTTGCAAGGAAAATAGAAAGGTATGTTGCTGCCTTGAGTTGACCAAATATATATATTTGGTATTTGGTTTGTGTGTGTGTGTGTGTGTGTGTGTGTGTATACATACATACGTATATATATATATATATGGTATATACATACATATGTATATATATGGTATTATATCTATATCTAATCTATCTGACGGTCTTTAAAAAGGTGGGATAACATCTAATAATAATACAGTAATTCCAATCTATTTCATTAGCATATCAATAAAATAAATTTTCTAAAAATGGAACAGTGCTGGCTGGAGAATTCTGGCAATTGGAAGTCCACACCTCTTAAACTTGCTAAGGTTTGAAAAACACTGGACTTTATCAGGTTTTGCAGAGATTAAAGTCATGTCCGGTTTAACCAGACCTCTCTGTGCTATGCTGTCTTATCACTCTATAATTTCCAGGATTGACTACTACACGGCCCTGTCTATTGAGCTTCCCTTGAAGACAGCCCCAAAGTGCCACTCACGCTACATCAAAAATACCAGGATGGATGAACACAATTAACCTTTTCCACACTCTCACAGGCTGGGTTTCATTCAAGGGCATCACGCCTCACAGAGTTTTAAAACTTTCAAAACACTTTAACCCCAGACTTCCCAGCCCAGAATCCTCTGAATTTCCAGCAAGGAAGAATTCTGGGACTTGTAGTCTCAGTTTAAGGTCAAAGGAAGCAATAACTTGTCAAGTCAAAATGTAATCATCAAATATTTTCTTATGGACTAGCAACTTGGCACATCTGACACAGGAACACAAGCTTTTCCCAAACGGATAACATTCAAATATAAAAATAGGAAGTCAATAGGAAGTCAAAGGTGCCATCCCATAGTTGCAGCACCATTAAAAGACAGTTGCAACAGCTGTGCAATTATAACCGAACTAAAACAGTTCTACTCAAATAAATTTGGATTCTCCCACCTCCAGAAGAGTTTCAAAATTATTATTATTATTTTTTCCTGACAAGCATTTGGCCATCTCATTTCTTTTCTGTGGTTATTTTTAATCTGGAGGGAAATTTTTTTGGCTTTAAAAAAAAAAGTATTTGGCTGTGCTTGTCCCTTAACAGCTGTTTTCCAGATTATTCTGGCTTTCTTTTAATCCCGATGCAAGGCCTTGAGTTATTTACATAACGAAACGAAAGGACAGTGTTTTGAATACATACAACCCATATAAATATCTTTTCTACCTAACCTCCATTCACCACTTCCTGTATGCAAACTCCACCCATTAATTCCCTGTGTATTATTATTGTTATTGTTATTATTATTATTATTATTATTTCCCCTCCACCTTTATAAAGATTCTGGTTTCAAAGCTCACAGAGGAAGTTGGATCACACGGTTTAGCCCCTGCCCTACCTGGAAAGGCCCCCAACCACCACCCCCCCCAAAAAAAAATTTAGGACTTTTTTCTTTTTTTATACATTGCAAAAGATCTCCTCCCTTAAATCGAAAGCATGGTCCTAGTCCTCATGAAATTGGGCTGAAGGGGAACAGCGCTCTTTGGCCGGTCCTCTTCAATGACAGATGGAAGAGGTTGGCATTCACACCACCAGCCTAGCTTTGATTCTGTTTAAATGTTGATTCCCCCACCCACCCTGGTGTGTGTGTGTGTGTGTGTGTGTGTGTGTGTGTATTAGATGGTTGCACAACCAGATTGTTTGGGAGGATTCAGGGTAGGGGGGTAGAAATCCAGAAAACGGAGGGGGGGGTGTCGATGCCCCAAAATCTGCCACCCAGATTTCAAGGGAGTCCCTACCTTGCAAGGCGGTTGCAAGGCTTTTAAGAAGAGACTGGACTGGCATCTGTCAGAAATGGATGTAGGGTCTCCTGCTTGGGCGGCGGCGGGGGGGGTGGGGGTTGGACTACATGATCTCCAAGGTCCCTTCCGACTCTGATTTAACTGTTATTATTCTGTTATTCAGAAATTGTGGGAGTTTCATCCCTGGAGGCTTTCTGAGAAGAGACTGGACTGGATTGCCCATTTGGAGGGTGTCCTGCTTGGGCAGGGGGGGTTGGACTAGATGACCTCCAAGGTCCCTTCCAACTCTTTTGATTTATCTGTAAAATAAATAATCTGTTTTGCCAGCCCAAGGGGCGTCTTTTTCCAAGGGGGATCCCCCAAGATCTTCCACCCAGCCACCCCACCCACTCGGGGCCCGATTCACCATTTCTTGGTGCACTCCACCACCAGCTCCTGGTAGCAAGCGACGAAGCGGAACTTGGCGGCCCGCTTGCCGACGCGCTGCAGCCGCTTCCAGACGGAGCTCATGGCCGGGGCTGGCTCTCCTCCGTCCCCCCCCTCCTCCGCCCCCTTTGCTTGCTTTCACCGACGACGAAGACGCCGCATGCCCCGACGCCTCTGGCCGGGCTGCCCGAGCGAGGAAGTCCCGGCGAGCGGCGAGAAAGTTGCAAGGCAGGAGGAGGAAGGAGGCGCGACGGAGCCCGGGAGGAGGGGCGTGACCCAGTTAAAAAAGGGGGAGTGGCCGGGAGGGGGCGTGGCCGGAGTTTTTGCAAGAATAACAGAAGAATAATTTTTTTGGGGGGGGGAGATATTGGGTGCTACAACTATTTAGAATAGAATACAGAAGAAATAATAATAATAGAATAGAATAGAATAGAATAGAATAGAATAGAATAGAATAGAATAGAATAGAATAGAATA